TATGAAGTGGTATATAAATGAAGCTGCTTTATATGTGCACTTAAGCACTCTCTAAGCGGTTTACAACTGTAAGCTAATTGCCCTCAACAAGTTGGGTACTCATTTTATCGACCCTGGAAGGATGCAAGGCTGAGTCAACCCTGAGCCCCTGGCTGGTATTGAACTGTGGTTTGTGAGTGAGTGGGTTGCTGCAGTACAGGCATTTAACCACTGCACCACCAGGGCTTGGTTCGTCTTAGGGTCACCATAAGTTGGAAACTACTTGAAGACACACAATAACAACAACAATGTTCCTAAAGTTGGACACAGTGATGAGATATCCTGCAGGATCACCCAGGTGTCCTCTGGAGAAAGTGGAAGATGACGTCAGTGCTGTAAACTCAGCTATAGGAATATCCCAGCTATAAGAATATAGCTAGAAGCTAGAGGAAGCTAGAGGAATATAGCTGGATTCTTCTTCTGCTCTTCACTGGCCAGTAAATTTGCATACAGAGGGGCTGCACAAAAAGGTGGCTTTTTGGGGAGGGATGTGAGTTTGGTCATTGTATGGGGTCAGTACTCATTCTGACTTCTGCAATGACAAAAGAAAAAAAAAATACCTTATTCTCCAAAAGGGGGAAAAGGCCAAAGGAACAAAAGAAGAATAGCTGGAGAACTACTGCTGCTGCTGCTGCTGCTGCTGCTGCCACCCATCTATATCTACTGCATGAGGCAATTGCCTTATTCTGACTAATGGTTGGCTCAACCCTGGTCATTTGATTAAAACATCTGTATTATAGACTCCTGTTGGCCTGGTGAGAGATATGAGTCAGGCCAATAAAACATTGCTATTTGGTATATAGTGCAGACCATTTTGAAAAGAACAGCTGAAGATTATGGGATCGGTCAGAGTAATTCACTCTCTATGGAGCCAAGTACTGCCTTGATATCTTGAACTGTAATGCATACAAAACATACAAGAATTCAAGTGTTTTCTTTTTGAGATGGCAAACTAGGAAGATTTGCCTTTATTGTAGATCAGCTGGGAGTAAATGCAACTATTGTGGGTTCTTTTTATAGCTTCCTGAGGCATCAGCAGTTCACAAGGGACAATGAAAGAAGAAAACTATACTTAGGTGGACCAAAGAGCAAGGTGCTGAGATAATTACATCAGCCTCATTTGCTGCATCTACACTTTCAAACCATCCCTTTTTAGTGGATAAGTGCTGTTCTTTGGACAAAGTTGAGCAGCATCTGAAGTCACAAAGAAATCCTGGCTCTAACACCAGTTGGAGTGGTGTTCCTGCAAAGGGTCGTGTGAATGGTTTTGTTCCTCCCTTTCCATACATTGTAATTAGTACTTTGTGAATGTATGTGTCTGTGCCTTCAAGTCGCCTGTTGAATTATGGTACCCCTATGAATTTCATAGGGTTTTTTTTTTAGCAAGGAATACTCAGAGGTGGTTTTACCAGGTCATTCTTCTGAAATGTAGTCTATAGCATCTGGCATTAATTGGTGGCCTCCTAACCAGGGCTGACAATAGAGGGATTTAAGTAGATAAGTATCCATGTTTAGCAGTTCATGTTAATGAGAAGTCAAAAGAAAAAAGAAATACATATGTGATGCTTATTGGATAAGGTCTCCCTTTCTCTCTCATACACAGTTGCAAAATGAGCTTTTATCTGCTGTCATTTGGATCCCCCCCCTTAGAACAAATGAATGGGAGAGAATAGGATAATGGGAAATTGAAGATTTGAATATCCATAATAACGAAGGCATGAGAATCTTGTGTCTTTGAATCTTCTTCAGATTATTGTTTCTATACACCAAATAAATGATTTCCTCTTTATAGCTATGCCAAGACATAAATTACAGCAGAGCTCCTGGTTATTCTTATATTTTGTTACAACAGAGCTTGAAGTACAAACTCAGTTTGAAAACACAGTGGGCAATGTAATCTCTACAATACAATCTTCAAAGATCTGAAAAAACTATATACCATCAAACATAAAAAAATGTTTCAAGGCTACCTATAAACAGATTGTAGGAGATTATTAGTATTCATTATGCAGAACATGAAGTGTGCCTCAGTGCATCAGGAGCTTCTTGTATAAATCAAGATACTCTTGTAAGGCTAAAAAGCAAGACTTACGTTATGGCTAAGAAAAATCCATCTAAAATAGGAAAATAGATGGTCAAAAGAAAATACCTATACTTAGTATGAGTCTCTAGAGCTGACTCCAATGAGTAGGTGTAAGAGCAGTATTTCTGAGGCAGAGGATAAGTCTCATGGCCTTTTTGCTTTTCAGAGACAGAGACAGAGACAGATAGGAGACAAAGGTTTGTAAAACACTAACTCTTTACTTTTAGGAGATAGGTGGGGAGGAGAGAGAAAGTGACCTCTTCAGACAAGAATTACACTGATCAAGGAGCATAGAGAGAGAAGCAAGACAAGCAGTCAAGGAAATTCCCGCTCTATACCTAATTACCAAAGAGACAAGCATTGATGCTTTCTTTACTTCCAACACAAAAAATACCCAACTGTTATCAAGCATTTCTCTTGAATTAATTATAAATATGCTAAAGCCATTTTTTCCAGGGGTACTGCCTGACAAGAAGAAATGTACAGAAAAATACGTACATGTTTCTATGTAGGAATACACACACACACACTATGGACGTTATCACACGTGGGCCAGAAAGTAAAAATAAAGTGGAAATGAGTCATTCCAAAAATAAACGGAAAATAAACCTTGATTCCGCAAATGGATTTCACATGTAATTACCTTAATTGCGAAATTACAGTAAGCGCATTTAACGTTCACACACAAGTGAGAAAAGCCCGTAAATGTACTAGAAATGAGCTTCTTGCACATGCGCAGATAGAGGAATGCTCGCTGGAACCATGGGAAAAGCAGGGAAATGCTCCCAAATTCGCATTTGCTTTTCACATTACGGTAAATGTGAAATTACCTTAATTTCGCATTTGCATTTCCTCCAAACAACCGAATTTCAAAAGATTGTGGTTAACACCAGTTTCTGTCCACTTTCTGTCCAGTTTCTGTGTGACAGAGGACCTTATCACACGGGGCCCAAAGGAGTCAGAATCTACACTCAGTCCCATCCTATTGTGCTTCATTTTTCCGTGTGTTCACACGACGTCGCACAGAACCCCGTCAGAACCCCGTCACAATGCGGCATCATCCCCGTTCTTTTGAATGCTGGTTTCTTGGGGGATTGCAATCGCACGACCAGAATGATAGCGCAATCATTGCGCTTTCGCCATATGTCTGATCACCAGATACGTATCCTGGAACCCAGGCCCCGCGCAGGTTTGGGAAGGTGTGTGTGTGACAGCCGGCTGTCACACACACACACACACACACACACACACACACACACACACACCCCTTCCCAAGCCGGCACAGGGTCCGGGCTCCGAGGAGAAGTCCTCAAAGAGGCGCCTCCCTGAAGATGCCAGCCACAGATGCAGGTGAAACATCAGGAATATATTCTTCTAGAACATGGCCTCACAGACTGAAAAACCCACAAAAACCTATAGTACTTTTAGATTCAAAAGTCCCACAGATTAGTCACCAAGTAGAGCTGGAAGACAAACTTGGAAAACTGATGGAAATATATATGTCAACTAGTTTTTGGAAATAACTAGTGAAACAACTATCTACTGTATATACTCAACTGTAGGTCGACCTCATGTATAAGTCAAGGGCAGGTTTTGAGGCCAAAATTATGGATTTTGCCATGACCTGTGGATAAATCAAGGGTAAAACTTGGAGCCTCATTCAGTGTGTGTATGTGTGTGTACAGCAAGAAAGACTCTAATTGAGGCTTTTAATTTCAACTTTTAGTTTTAGCCTTCATCCAGAAAGCAAGAGCCAGTGCAGGTGGGAGAGCGTCTCTGTTTAAAAGCAATTAATCACTCAGGACTCTTTATGATTGGCTCAAGAGAAAAGGAAACTATCTTTTCACTGCATGGGGAATTCTGAAAGAGCTGCTACCACATTACCATAGTGACCCATAAATAAGTCAACTTGGGATTTGGGGTCAATTTTTGGTCATAAATTTTTAGACTTATAGATGAGAATATACGGTAAGTTATTAACTCAATTGATTTTTTGAACATTTTGACTTAACTGACTAGATTTCCTAGTGAAGTTAATCCTGGGTTTCAAAGAGCTGATTAATTTTAGAATATTGGAATCTTTTTCTGGCAGATTCGGTAAAACAGAAAGACCGAAGGAGAAGGACTAGGATAGGAGGAGATACATCACATTGCCTTGTTGCTCTATAGTAGAACTCAGTAGATGAAGAACTGGGCAACAACTGAAGAGCTAGATTGGGGATCAATCGAAGAGGAATGTCAAAAAATAAAATAACATAAATATTCACAGATTGTCAAGCTCTTTAGGCATAAAAGGATGATCTCCCCCTCACCATTACTGGTGTGTGTGTGAGTGTGTGGGTTGTGATGCCTTCATTTCTCCTCCGCTGTTGATTTCTCACACATTATTGCATAAAATATATTATTTTGTGTTTTATTATTTGGGTTTTTATTTTTGTTCACAGTGCTGTAGACATGGATAGTTAAGTGAAAAGTTGTCCCCAACCCATTTTTATTTTCTTTAGCTTCTCCACCTTATCTCCCCCCTCCACTTATTCTGCTTTCCACACTCTTCCTGATTCAGTAGATCATAGATTGCCAGAAATATGAGTCTGAGACTGTTAGGTTGGAGACAAAAGATTCATTTACCAATCCATGCCCCCATGCCCACACAGAAGTAAATGCCATTGTGTTCCTTTGTAATTCTTTAGCATGTTTATTATTGTTCACACAGAGCTGTGTGTTGTTGTGTGCCTTCAAGTCATTTTTGACTTAAGGCAACCCTAAGGTGAACATATCATGGGGTTTTCTTGGCAAGATTTGTTCAAAGGAGATTTGCCCTTGCCTTCCCCTGACACTGAAAGTGTATGACTTGCCCAAGTCTGCCCAGTGGGTTTTATGGCTGAGCTGGGAATTGAACCCTGATCTCCAGAGTCATAGCCCAACATCCAAACCACTATGCCACACTAACTAAATGTAAAGTTTTACTTTTTTCCTACATTTCTCTTATCCCCTTTCTTCTCTATTCTTCCTATTCTACTTTTCACCCCCCCCCCACTTCATTGGGTCACACTCTTTGAGGAGTTTGGTAAGGTACAGCTAGCAAAATCGGTTTTTCAGAAGTATACTTTCCTCCAATCTCTACTTATATTCTCCCTGTTTTGGAAGGAGGAATAAGGCAGAGGTGGGAGTGACTCCTTGACTGGTTCAGCTCATCTGGTCTCTCCTTCTACAGAGTTTTTGATCCAGCAAGAATTCAAAGCCATTACTGGGCTCTACATCACCCTGGCCCTTTCTCTCACAATTGCATGCAAGTGGGAAGGCTATTAGAGGAGCCATCACCTCTGTGTTCCTCATTCTCCCCCCTTCTCCCTTTTGTTGGGACTGGCACAGCTGGCAGCCCAGACTCGCTCTCACCCTGCAGTGTTGTATAAATAGTCAGCTCCAGCCCATTTGATTAAAAAATATTTGTTCCTTAGCTGTTCAAAATTATTCTAGCAGACATTTCCCTGTAATATGGAAGTATATGGTATCCTCTATTATGCATGCTGTGCTAGTTTTCACACATAGTGAACTGAGACAAGATAAACTGCCCCTTTTATGCACAATAGAGAAAATGCCAACAAGGCACAGCATGTGCTTGGGTTGGGTTGGGTTAGAAAGATAATAACAAATCAGAATTAAGCAAGCTGAACCGCTTAGCACTTGCTTTCCATAGCAATCAAAAGATCTCAGATTAATAGCCAGCTTCCTTTTAATCTCTCACATGAATGCCACTGGCATAGTCTTCATAATTATAATTAGGCAAACTCTTTACCTGCTTGATTCATGCAATCAGAGCTTTATAAAACAGCATTGCAGCTGCAAGGATTCACTGACTGGAAGGCCTGCACACAATCCCATTATTTTCTAATTGAATTGATCCAGCTACCTAGTGTTCATGGAACATATGAAATTTATCCTCCTAAGCATAACAGACCACTGGGCAAACTTTCTCTATTGAGGTAACAGAGGAGACATTTCTGAATTCTGATAAGGCAAATGATTTCAAATTGTTCTGCTTAGCTGTACCAGTAAACCAGAACAATTAATACAAGGTGTTGGGAAATGATGCAGGCTTGAAACTAAGTCTTGGGCCAATTATTGTTACCCAGTATGTACCCAGCATGCTTTTGTTCAGAAATGATTCACTAAAACTTACACGAGGACTGAGACTAGATACTGCAGTTCTTAGTAGAGATAGCCGGCTGGGCATGAACCTTTGAAAACATTCCTCTAAGCTCAGGATCTCCTAATGAAGTCTTGGGGGGATTTGGGCAATGCAACACCATCCTCTTTCCCTGATCAAGAATTCAAGGAAAGGAGCAATAATATCAACCTGTTTCACAGATATCTTTGATTTTTAAAAACAATTTAAAAGCCAGCCTCCAGCTCATTAGGTTTTCTCATTGTAATGGCTCATCATGTAATACCTTGGGCAGAAGAAAAGGAATTAGAACACTATGCTGACAGTTTTGAAACTGCTGGAAATATTCCTGAGGATGTGGCTTCTGGCCTGCAGCTATAAGATTGAGGTAGACCACTGATCATCCCTCAGAGGTGGTTGGACTCTGACAACCATTAGATCTAGCAAGCATAGCCAGTACCAAGCATTGATGGAAACGGAAGTTCAGCAGCATCTGGAGTGCCATAAGTTACTCGACCATGCTATTAAGGCTATACAGGAATAACCTAGATATAGGGTTGCCATATTTCTCTACCACTAAACTGGGACAAACTGTAGAAAAAATGTAAGACAAAATTTAGGGCAAAATGTAGGATGTTCAAGAAAAATGGAGAACATAACCAACTAAAACCCAAAAATGTCAATAATTTTTTTTAAAAAACAACGTTAACATAAATCCATGCTTCTTAGTCATGCTCAAAATGGAGGAGATTTGACATTCTTCCTAGACAGAAGGTTGAAATGTAACTCCTCCTCTCTGGAAATAACTTGAAGGCACACAACAACAAACATAATAAAATACATATGAGGAAGTAGAATTCAAAGATATTCCTTGCTTCAGCGGCCCCGGTCAAGGCCCAGCTGCCCGACTGAGGCCCTGGGTGGCTCCACTGCTGCCAGAGGAGACACCTTGCCACAGAGGCCTTCCTCCTCAGGGCTCAGCCATCCAGCTGAAGCTCCATGTGGTTCCAACACTGCTGAGGGAGAGCCCTTGTGTGGAAGCCTCCCTCCTCAGGACCATGCCTTGGTGGCCTCCCTTCTTGGGATCCAGCCGGCCGGCTGAGGCCCCGCATGATTCCACCGCCGCCACAGGAGAGGCCTTGCCATGAAGGCCTCCATCCTTGGGGCTCAACCAGCCAGCTGAGGTCCCACGTGGCAGGCAGTGGTGGAGGCCCCCCCTGAACTCCCCCAACCCCAGTGAGACCTAGCAAGGCAGCTAGGCCATGCATACTGCCACCACCATGCTGAAAGTGTGGCAGAGGAGAAGGAGGAGGGAGCTGAGAGCTAGGACTGGCTCCAAACCCAGGCCAGGACATTCACAAAGAGTTAAAAACTGTGAATGTCCTGGCAAAAACTGGGATATGGCAACCCTACCCAGATAGGAAGTCAGCATATGACACAAGAGAAAGCATATAGCCTAAATCCATTTGCAGTAGAATATTTGAAAAGGAAGCTGTAACAGTTTTATTTGTACAACACTTCACACAACAGAAACATACTGTTTCAGGTCTGCAGTGTTCCACAATGCTAGCAGTGTTTTAGAGTTTTTGTTGTTATTAACTGCCCACAAATCAATCCATACTCATGGTGACCCTGTGGATGAGATATCTCCAAGACTCCCTATCTTTCACTGCTCTGCTTAGGTCCTGTAAATTCATACCCATGACCTCCTTAATAAAATCTGTCCATCTAGCATGTGGTCTTCCTTTCTTTCTACATTGCTCCACCTTTCCTAGCATTATTGTCTTTTCCTGTGAGTCATTCCTTCTCATGTCACGACAAAAGTACAACAACCTCAACTTTATCATCTTGGCTTCCATGGAGATTTCAGGCTTGATCTGTTCTAGGACCCATTTGTTTGTATTTCTGCCTGTCCGTGGAATCCTCAGCATTCTTCTCCAGCACCACATCTCAAATGAATTGATTTTCCATCTATCTGCTTTTCTCACTACCCAGCTCTTGCAACCATTGTTTTATAGGGAAAATGTACATCTTTACATTTTAGAATCTTTTCTAATTCTTTCATAGCTGTCCTCCCCATTCCTAGTCTTCTTATTTATTGGCTGCAGTTCTCATTCTGATCAATGTTTCTAGACATAAAGACCACAAGTTATACTGATAGAGCACATCACATGTAGCAGGTCCCATCTTCAGTTTCTTCTTTTTCAGTCAAAATGATCAGTTATCCAATTATGGTCGAAAGCTCTTCCTGAGACCTTGGAGAATTTCTGATAGATTGGGGAGTGCTGAATTATATGAATAAATCATCTGTTCTGGTATAGGACACACTCTATTGCTGTTGGTAATCATTTGTTAGAGTTGGCAAGCTTTACATGTCGATACCCTCTGATTGCTAGTTTGCATGTTGCCCTATTGTAGCTTAACCACAGCATATATTTATGGGGATTTTGATTTGTTTGTATTTACCACAACCAATCTCTTCTGGCATTATTTTATTTTGCAACCATTTTAATTTACCTCTCCTTTCTCCAGTAGACTGTGTATTTGATAATGCACAAGCAATTTGTAAGTAAAGATACTTAAATAAATTTTTAGAAAGAATACTAAGATTGCTTCTTTTTTTAACAGGCCCTCTGTGTGTGGGTATGGGACTGGTTGCTGTTCAGCTTCTGACTTGCCAATTTGATTACTCTGATTAAGAAAGCCACTATTTCTCTCACATTTCCCTGCATCACCTTCAATATTTCATTCTTTATCACTCATATATAAACAACAATAGCTCAACACTCTAGTTTCTATAACATATTTTAATTGCTGCTAGTTTAACTGCTCCTAGTTTAATTGTCCTATTTTCCCCCCACATCATTTCCCCATTACTTTTTGTATAAGTCTTCAACTTGAAATGCACATAGTGCATGCAATAGATTTTGCCATTGTTTCACCATGTTCTTCTAAGATCCTGAAGTGACACTGCAGCAGCTATTACAGCTATTAGAAAATAATATCTAACTCATTGAGATAGGGATAATCTGCAGCTCACGATCCATCTTCTGAAATAACCCTTACAGCCTTGGCAATGATTCCTCTTTTTTATTGCAAAGAGCATGCCCAGTGAAAACCCCCAACTGGCCTTTTAGCAGTCATAAGAGAGAGAGAGAGATGAAGAGAGAAACACAAACCCATTTTAATCACATTATTTCCCTTCTGGAACTCCATACATGGGGGAAAATTTAATTTTTCAAAATAGAATGGTGGTGCTATCCAGAGACTTATAAGCTTATTGCACTATGTTCTTGGAAGTTATGGTGCTATCCAGAGACTTATAAGCTTATTGCACTATGTTCTTGGAACATGAGTACGTGATGAGAATGGAACGGAATGTATTTTATCGCATGGTAT